AACTCTTCAAAAAAAAAAAAAAAAAAAAAAAAAAAAAAAAAAAAATCTACTAACACAGAAATATATCTTTATTCGATTAAATTTGCCTGTTATCCACTTCTTTTTATACATTTAGTAACTACCTGGTCGCAATCTGTATATTTTATTAACTTTGTAACATCTATTTGTTATCTCAGCTTTGTCTTAGTGATACGTAATACGAACCATAATTCGTTAATATTATATAGGATAAAGGGGAACACAATGTAAAAGCCAGCAAAGGTTTCTCTAGCCCTCCTCGCATGTTAAATATTATTCCTTGGCAGCCAAATGTATTGATGAGAAAATGAGGAATACCAAAATAATAGAAAAAGGAAAAACGGAAGCAAATGATATCGTGTTGCGCGATACGAGATATGCCGATATGCTTGTCTAGTCTGCAATCATTATGGTTTGCGGTATTTTGTAAACAAAATGGCGGAGTTGTTGAATTGAATATTTTTCCGGCCTCGTTTCTCCCTGACGCTGAGCAGTGATGCTTATTGGAAAGTATTTTGTTTGCTACAGTAAAATAGACAGAGATCCTGTTTCTGTTCTTCTGGAAGCCAAAGGAAGACCTAACACTTTGCTTTTCGAGAGTGGCGCGATTGCTGAGTTGTGTAAGTAAAATTTAAGCTTACTACTGAATCTCCCTGAATCTTCTGCATGACGGAAGGCCACTTGTACTGCTCTTCCTTTTAACATACAAGTTTGCTTTATCATGCACCAGCGAGTTATGATGCACGTAGGAAGTTTGGAGAGGACGAATGAAGCGTAAATTAGTTGCTCTCCAAACTCCTCAAGTGGATCATACATGTAACCGAATGATGCACCGCGTAAAGCATAGATCAATTGTGTTTTAAAGAAAATCAATGTACGACGACGACCACTCGGCTCAAATAGTTTCTATTCTACTTGACGACCTTTCGCGCGAGAAAAACATTCTTCGACAAAGTTAGCTAGGTTAACCTTGCTCACTCCTCGAGAGTGAATAATTGAATTATAGTGCTGCATTGCTAGCTATGTTGTAAGCTTAGGGATTTTGTTTCGTGTAGGATTTGCTTCTCTACATTCATATTCGCACGGCCTTTCTCATTATTCATTTAAGCTAGTGGTTTTGCATGATAATACTTAAATTTTGATCACTCTATTACATACCAAACATAGCTGATTAATAAATATGTAATAAGTCAAATTATTCTTGCATTTTGGTTTGGTCTCACCTATGATCTATAATTGGGGGACAGACGCATAGATGATGTCATAATTACAAACATTTTCGTTCTGTTTTTTTCAAAATATGGCAGAGAGTTTTGAGAATTTAGATAATGCAGTCAAACCTCCGGTTGCGACCAGCTCTTGTAAGTGACCACCTCTCCTCAGCAACCAGTTTTCCAAAATAGCAAAAGCTTCCAAGTCAAATCACTACATTTGGAACCTCTTGTAAGCGACCACCTCTTGTAAGCAACTTCAACCACTTTTAGAGCTAAAAGTTTGAAATTTTTATTTGTTTTTAACCTCCCATTATAAGTGACTGCTTGACAGATAATAGAGTGAACATTGTGTTGTAACATTATCGTATTTCTGGCTAGTACAATAAACGGAAATTTCTTAATGAGAAGAACCAAATTTTTTCTCAAAATTCACTTTTACATCAATAAAACATTGCATTGGCATTGGTGCACTGGGTAACTTTTTTGCAGTTACCATATTCAAATGAGGAAAAGTTTCGACCCATTATGGTCTAAGTTCTTGTAAGCGACGACCTCCTGTAAGTGACCACATAGGCTTGATATTTTGAGTGGTTGCTTATGGGAGGTTCGACTTGATGAAGGAAAATGTCCAAAAAAGTCTTGTTGAGGCTGTGAACAGGTACAGAAGCAGGGAGATGAAAGGAAGACATGTTTCTTTGAAGAAAATGAGTCAGAAAAATACTTGAGCAGTCTCAGTTGAGCAAGACTAAATGAAACACAAAATGGGTCTTGAAATTATTTCAAGGTAAGAAACCATTGCAGCTTTGCTTTGAATTTAACAAACCCAATAAGCAAAATTTTTATGAGATTAACCTGTTTACAAAATTTAACTTTTCTCAGTTTCAAAATAATTGTTCACACAGATTGGTGCTACAGTAGGAATAGAAACATCACATAACTCTTCTTAAAATGAACACGTAACCTTGTCTTCTGATACAAATGCTTCAGTTCGTTTCAGGACAGTAGTGAGCAAAGTATAGCTCATAACAGCTCATGGCAGTCTGTATCACAGCTAGATGCACTTGAGCATCACCAGCTACAGAGGACACAAATTTCCACTCATCAATGCTCCTTTTATTCAAAGCCCAAATCAAATGGACTCCAACGTGTTGATGTTGACTGCAAACCCCAAGTTAATATTTCAATTGTGGATTTCGCAGTTCGATTCTGCTTCACTGTCAGTTTTTATTCCATAACAAGCAGCGCTTGATTTAAGTTTGGCAGTGGTGTGATTTGCCTGAACCAATCACAAATTATTCTTTGTTATGCATAACAACCAAGGAGTTTGCTTCATTTTGTGTAGACAATAGATTACATCCAATTGCTATTTTTGTGTTTATCAAACAGGGCAGGGGCCTTGCTTTCCAGTTATGTTGAAAGCTTTTGAAAAAAAAAAAAACAACCTTTTTTGTTTTTTGTTTTTGTGGTTTGTGATTTCTTTATTGTATAAAGCAAATATATTCCATGTTGTTGTGGATCTGTTCAGTAATAGATCACAGAAGATGTCAAAGTGTGGTAGGAACATCAGCGACTCACTTAGCTATCACCTTGTGTGCTACTTTTTTGTTCTTACCACATTTTGATGTCGTCTGTGATCTACTAAGCAATTAGATTATTTGCTCTTGATTTCTACGCGTGATAGCTGACTTGGGCTGTGCCCTTGTCAACTATCACGCATAGAAATCGAGAGCAAATAATCTAATTGTTTTAGTATAAATCTACCAGCCGTTCAAAACTTCATCTAAATCCTCTTCACAGACACCTTGAAAATGCCAAGAAGCAGCCATCATTTTGTTAACAAGCGCACACTGCTACACTACTCACGATCTATCACAGAATAGATAGTGATTAGTATAGCCAATCAGAGAGCAGTATTCATTATAGAACGCTGGTAGATTTATACTAATACTGAACAGACGCAGGGCAACATGGAAAGAAATTGGTAAATCTGTTTGTGTACTGTAGATATTTTGATGTTGACTTTTTCCTTTTTTTCCAGCGCAATGGGAAACTGAAAGTATAAAGAAAGGATATTCTAAAGTTGTAGATGCTTACGGTTGCCTGGGAGCTCTCAAAATCAATCTTGGTAAAGTAATCTCACTAAAATCTTATTCAGGAGTACAGTGCATACTACATGTAAGCAATAAATTACTTATTTATATATTTGTTACAATGTGCCCCTCAATTGGTGTATGCTATATGCGGGTAATGTAAATTATATTTCACAATTTGTAATGGAAATCAATAACAAACAGTAAACTGTAAACTGTAAACTTTCAGTGTGGCACAATTATGCCATCCAGTGAATTTTCTCTAAAATGAACACTATCAGGAACAGCATCGTACGGTACAATACATTACATTATTTACATTATGTAAAACATACCTTAAGTACAACACATACACACTAACTAGGTAGTTTTTAGACACTTGAAGTAACAGCTGTGTATTTGCAAATTGCAACCTGGAACATTAGACTAATAAGTTTGAGGAAGGTATTATCAAATTGTTGAGCAAAAGTTAAAGGATGTTGAAAATGGTCCTTTGAAGCATATGCAGTAAGGCAGAGAGGTAGTAGTCCTTTCAGAAGGATTGGTTTTGTTATGAAAGCTTGGAATCTGTTAAGGTGCTTACGAGCTTTGGTTGATTCTAGTACCAAAATTTTATGAATTGTTATGTCGAGTACAGGCATCAGTGGGTTAAAAGTCTATCAACAAAAATCTCTTGTTCCCTTGAAATAGATATTATCACGTTACACCTTAATATTACTGGTGCTGATACTCAAAAGAATGAAACAACATACCTTATTGATGAAACTGCCATTGATACAAAAATAATTGAATCAATAAATTATAGGCTTCAGTGTTTATGTTTACATGTAATCTTTTTACAGGTGAAGAGGAGATTAGCTTCTTTCTTGTTCTTGTAACTGGTTGCACATCAGTTGGAAAAATCAATGACAGCGAAATATTCCGTATTAATGCTACTCAGTTAGTCCCTTTACAAGATGGCCAGGATGAAGAAATTATTGCTGAAGTGTGCAAGCTATTGAACTCAGGAACATTCTATTTTTCTGTTTGTCCTGGAGATCAGCAGCCTATAGATTTGACCCTTTGTTCACAGCGAAGATATGAGGGCTGTGAACCCGACAACCGGTTCTTCTGGTGAGTGAGCATTCATTTTAAGATTTATTCAAATTCTTTTAGTGATAATCTCTCCTGTTAAACATGCTTGAAATGAATGAACTCTGGGGGACTTAACAGGAATTTATAGTACTTAAAAGGTATTGCTTCAGAGACAACTTTTTACTGATGGCCAAACATGCTCAAAGTTAGGGGTCCTAAAGCAATGTGTTGTTCCAGAAAATATTCATACATCCTCCATGGAAGGGTTTTTTCCCAAGACCGACCTACCCCTCTAGAAATTCTAATTAAGCTTGATACATTTCTTTAAATGTTTTGGTCTTATAGAACCCCCCAACCCCCAGGGAATTCCAATCCCTTCTGTGGGGGGAGTATGGATATTTTCTGGAACTGCACAGTGACAAACTCTGAATTAAGAAATTAATGGAGCTGTTGGAATTGTGAAACCCCTTTTTACTTCTACAAGTCTTGTTTTGAGTCAGCCATGGATAAAACTGTATTTAGCAGCGTTTGTGTACACCAAGCAGACAAAGGAATATGTGACTATTTTATGTCACCTAACAACAAAGACCTTTAAGCTAAACTAACAAATTCTGACAAGGAATTGCTTTTGTGTCATTTCAACAACAGTATCTAGAAGTAATAAAAAGAGCTGGTCGACCTTATTCACATACTAAAAGTGCAGATTTTTTTATTGGTGAACGAAAATTAATTCAAATTACATGTACCTGAATAGTCAGTTTGCTATACCAGGATACTCACTGTCCTGTGATGACCAGGTGAAAGGTGGAGGTGGAATTCTGGCGCACTTACATGTATCTACTGCAATCCCCTGCAAAAGGCTGATTAAGCTTAACAGACCATACAAATGCATTGAGGCAATTACACTAGAGATAACGGCTGGCAGATGGGCCATGGCTATCAATGGAATTTATCAACCACCCAGAGCACTGGGCATTTATGGTTAACACTCCCTTACAACTTGATCTCTCTGCACTTACAGGGGTTTGGCCCACAGGCGAAAGCCCAGGAAGTCCCTTTGTGAATAAGAAGTTAAAAGATGTATTCCACAGGGGGCCCAGACAGACCGTTTGTGCACTGTGCACACACTGTGCAGATTTTATGGTACTAACTGAGCTTTAACTATTAATGATCAGGAATCGCAGCCTGCATATTCACCTGCAGAGGTTTGGAATTGACTGTTTGCAATGGCTACTTCGAATGATGTGTGGAGCAGTGGAAATAAGAACTGTATATGCTGGGAAAACTCAAGCCAAAGCCTGCCTTATTTCACGATTGAGCTCTGAAAGGGCGGGAACAAGGTTTTATGTAAGAGGGACAAATGACGATGGACATGTGGCAAATTTTGTGGAAACAGAACAGGTGTAATATTCATTGCTAGATCAACTTAGAGATTTTCTTGTAAGCTTTTTTTTTAGATTTTTATTTAGCTTAAAAATGTAAAGAACTAGACATATATCATAGTGGCATGTACCATCATCAGGCACTGTTATTAGTGAAAGATAAAGTGGTTTTGAAAGTTGGACAAGACCCAGAACAATGAGAGGGTTTTATGCTTCCGTCCTGTGACTTTATTTCCCAGTTTTCATGAGCTGCAATAAATGTAATGTTGTCTGTCTATCAGTTGCCTTAAGATGCTTGAAAGGTGAAAAGTTGTTCTTGAATAGCATGGTTAATTAATTGTACAGTCATGCACATTCATACTCATTTTAACATTTTCTGTATCTTCAGTTTATCGTGCTTGATGACATGACAACCTCTTATGTCCAAACGCGTGGATCAGTTCCAGTATTCTGGGAGCAGCCTGGTGTTCAGGTACCATTATAACATTCATGAAGTGTACAACATAGCACAGTAGCAGTGTTGTCATTACATTTGAGTGACATGTTGCCTTGTTACACACTTAACAAACTTGTTGTTTACAGTTGAATTACAGCAACAACAGGTATATTATCACACATAACAGCAAGGGCTGATCAACCATACTCAGCTGTAAGGTGTTTCAGGTTTCAGCCCTTAATGACAGCCCTACAGTAGTAAGAATAAATATTCCTTCTTGGAGCCAACAATTCAGCATAAATTGAAAAATGTTGTCTTGATGTGTACATTTTGAAATATTTCATGGCCAGACTTTTAAGGCTGGACTCAATGTTCTGTGGCATTTTTGTGTTGAAGTCAGTTTTTGTTGTTGTTCAGTGTGTATGTCAAGTAAGCTAGTTGGTAACAGTTGTTAAGTTTGTCAACTTGTTTTTGTCTCAGAAATTGCGATGAAAATAATCGAGGAACATGTCCTTCTTGCAACTTAACAACTCTTGTTAGGCGACAATTACCAAATTGAAACTTTCACAGCCACTTTATGGGGAGCAGGGATAGTGCAGCCCTCGCCTCCCTCCAATGTAGGCCGGGTTTGGTTCCTGTCTGGTGTCATGTGTGGATTGAGTTTGCTGTTGGTTCTCACCTTGCTCCGAGGGTTTTTCTCTAGTTTTCTTCCTCCACAAAAACTAACATCTCCAAATTCCAGTTTGACCATGATAGAGGTCCTGCATAAATACATGTAGGTCCTCTCTAAATATAGTCATTTATCTCTTTAGCAAACAGAATGCCATTAAAACTATAAAGTTTTCATTTCTACATGTAGCACTTTTTAAACCATTTTATAGTCAAGACATTGTCATACAAACCTTGTATTTAATTGAATTGTAACAAAACCCCAAACCAATTCAATTCAACAAGGTGAACCATAATTATTGTGATAAAATACAGTCACATAAATTTAACAAGTAACCAATTAACCCTCCCTTCCCACCTTTCACCCAAACAGAAATATATTCACCAAGGAGTGCATATTCATATTCTCTGTATTGGACTGGAACTAGCTTACAGCTGAGGCTAATGCGGGGAGTCTTTTCAAGTGCTCATTACAGTAATCTCTTTTTATGATATTCCCCCATTCCCTCCATGGTTCATGGAGGGAATGGGGGAATTCATGTTCTTTAGTTGCTACAATTACATGGACAGCCCAAGAAAGGAAAACTGTCTGTTTACTCATTAGCAGAGTACAGAAAGAAAGTTTTCTATGATAAGTGCCTTCCACTAAATGCCATTGAAGATCAAAGAGATGAGAAACCACTTGAAGTCCAAAGCAACAAAGACCCCCAAGAAGTTCAAAGAGTTGAAAGTGACTATTCGTTATTCCGGGGGAGGATTTCACACAATAGGCCACACATGTAGACCTCCTAAGAGACTTCAGAACTTTTTAATTATCCAAATCGAGCTCTGAATTTGTACTTGCTTGGTCAAATATGGCTCTGAGAAGTGACAATCTTTTGTTTGAAATGAAACAGTGTATTTGTTGTCTCTATTAGGCTAGTGCAACTCACATTCATCTTCCATCATACCGGCTCTAAAAAATTTACAATTGCTGCCTTAAAACAGGTTGGGTCTCACAAGGTCAAACTCTCCAGAGGGTTTGAAGCCTCATCACCCGCATTTGACAGGTAAATGAGTCATCATTACAAGGAAAGTCATAACCTGTCTTACAAAAGGGTGTTCATGTGCAAAAAGAACTTTCTCAGTTGTTGTCTACAGGTCTCATGCGCTGATTAATTTAAGATTGTAGTCAATTACTTGAATATTCCATTTCCTGGCATACTTAACTTTAGGAAACATTAGTTTCTTTTCGTATTAACGCTATTAACGATTTTTTGAGCATGTATTAAATAATGAGACAGCAACATAACCAATGAAGTTTGCATTGAGTTAGTTATAATCAGCTTAATGTGCCCCACTGGTATGAATGTAAACCTTAACTTCGATGCTACTTCTGTGATTGAATTTTTGAAAGAAAATTTATAGTGAGTTTGTGACATCATCTTAGCAATCTTACGGGGAAACTCTGCTGATAAACCGCTATTACAATTATTTCTAATTCCTAAATGTCTCTGACACTCTCACTGCCACTGCCACTGCCCTCTCCCCTGACCCTACCCCAACCCCTGTCCTTGCCCATGTCCTTGCCCCTGCCACTGCGACTTCCACCTCACCACCACCACGACTACTACCACTACTGCTACCACTACTGCTACCATTAGAGCTTATACTACCATTGCCGGTGTCAGTGTTACATCCACTCTCTTCCTTTGTAATAAGGGGCTGTTCGTTTCTTTGTTATGTTTTTAGACATTTCGCCAGCCTGAGGAATCTGTATGGACAACAGTTACTTGTTAACTTGCTTGGTACAAAGGAAGGTGAAAACACTCTAAGTATTGCATTTCAGGTGAGATGCATTTAATCTGCTAGTTTAGATGATCTTAATAATAATAATAATAATAATAATAATAATAATAATAATAATAATATTACTTTTATTACTTGTATAACGCAAAATTCATTAAAATATATAATATAATGCGTTTTACAAACACTCTAACTTATAAAAATCGTATCTATATGTAAAACTAAGAAATCTTAAACAAGATGATGATCTTTAAGTTACAACTTGATCTAAATTAGTAGAAGTCATGGCTTGACATCAACTTGAGGCTTGATGATAATAGTTATTGCTCCTCCAAAATGTTTCTCCGTTCCTGATTGCCCTAATCCCTCTGTTTCATAAATGCTTCATAAAGTTGGAAGAGGTACATCATTCGTTGTACTAAGTCCTGTATTATCGGACAACTGATGTCAACCGTCCAAAATGCTAATATTGGATGAGTGACATTACAACAGAAAAGGAGCACTTTGGCAGTGCAGAACTAGAGTATGTGAAAATTGTTAGAACTTTTCAAAAACTTAGTGAGCACCTGACGAAACAGCCGTTTTTAAGCGGTGCTTAAAAAGATAGCAAGAATAATGATAACGATGAACTTAAATTTATTTAAATAAGGTCTTGGTAAATGTTCTCTGCTGATAACTCTTAACTCGCCCATGATTGTTTTTGTGAGATGTCAGTTTATAATCAAGAGGATTCGTTAGATGTAGTTTATAGCTTGTGCTACCTTGATACCTTGATGGTTGATACGTCAGTCGATGTTGGATATTTTCAGGATCAGCTGAAAGACTCAATTCATGGAAGTGAGACTCGCATGATTTGTTTTGATTATCATCAAAATTGTCGAGGAGGAAAGTTGGATAAGCTGACAGTGCTCAAGGATAAGGCTCGACCGTCTTTAAATGAGTTTGGATTGTTCTTTGCCAAAGGAGACCAGATTGTAAAGTAGGTTGCTATTTTTCTGTGAGTAATTTTTGTGAGCCAGTTTTGCCGACCTGTGTAGAGCAGTCATTGGGAGAGCCCTCTATTAAACAGGTTTGTTTGATTATTTTTTTTAACAGAAATCAAAAAGGAGCTGTTCGTACAAACTGTATTGACTGTATAGATCGCACTAACAGCGTTCAGAGTTACTTAGGGCTTGAGGTATGCTGATGGTGAAGATGTTAGTCCTTTTTACCCGTACGGTGGTCGTATTGAAGTGTTAATTTAAAGAATATTATAGGATTCCTAGAGGAAAATATTCGACGGCTTGCTTAACAGGACATGGCAAGGAAGCAGTTGTTGCCATGCACCGGATCGTTCCCTTTATACTATTGTTCGCTGTTTTATTGTCGTCCTTAAAAAACAAAGAGTTATGCATAAAGAGGGCGAATGTCCAGAACGTCGAGAAATTCCCAAACTATTAAAACTGAATGTTTCATCTAGCGACTGGGAGAACTGGTGCATGCGCAGTGAATGAAAAACCAACTGACCGAAAGAAGTTCTTGTTTACTTAGTTTTGTTCAATGTTATATTTTTGAAGACTGAAAAAATGCCTCTTATCGAGTGTTACGTACAAAATCTTTGTGCTAAAACACGCATCGAAAGATCGAAAATTCAAGCCTTGTACGCAAATTAATGAATTTGTCTCGTGAAAAAAAAACCGCTTACAAGAGTCTTTCAAGCAAAACTGTGAACTAAAGAATTCAAAAACAGTAAAATAATATTTAAAGGCGTTCTTTCGTTAAAGTAATAGTCTGGAAATTGCACGGAAGTCATTTTCTCGACCTGTCAATTTTAAAGACACCGAGTGAATAGCTGCGGAGAAAGATGTATCGATCATCCACTAATTAAGTAGCTGTGAAAATAGAGCCTGAAAAAAAACTCCAGGCTTGAACGGGGTTCGAACCCATGACGTCTGCGAATATCGGTGTCAAGTGAGCTATCAAGCCAGCTGAGAGCTGACCACGCTGTGGGTGATCTGTGTTGAATTGTATTTCCTCTGTAGCAATTATACAGATTTGACTGTCAGATTTAATTTCCAGACAAAAGGACTTGTTTGTCTCCTCAACTTTTTTGGATCGCAAAGTGGCAAAAAAGTATAAAAATTTCGAAATATCCAAAACCCAGGAAAACGTGTGACTATGATGAATTGCTCTGAGTTGCCACGCAAGTCAGCTGGTGTTTTGGATTAATGAATGCTCTACTTTTGGCTGGATTTTCTCATTTTTCTCAAAAACAAAGAATGGTATCTCGGAGAACTTTTTGGTTGTCTCGGGCAACTAGGGGCGACTACTAATTAGTAGTGAAATGAACTTTATCTTGCTCTGCTTGTCAGATCAAGTGAAGGCGCAACTAAAACAAACCGGCCATGAGTATCAAACCTGCTGTGAAATGCAAAGAAAGCATTTCATCTTTTATCAGAAAGGACGTCCTATTATATTACAATGAATTTGAACAGGTCCACTGAGGGGAAAAGCAAAAACTTGGACATGAGTACGATAAACTTCATGTCCCGTTGCAAGCTGAAACGTCCAAACCATTCGTACCTGCAGCGACTAACTATTCGAAATCTTTTGCCCTTTGGCAATTCCATCATTTGCTTTAAATTAATTTATCCAATTAACTAATACTTACATATTTCCATATTTTTGATAAGGTCAATTTAAGGTAATAATTTATTAATTGCTAAGACTTTCAAGCCCTACATGAAGTGAAAATCACCTGGCCGCAAGGAATCTAAGTCCAACAAGTGAAGCAACTGGCCATTCGATTACTGTGAATAAACAACCGTGGTACATGTGTCAATAGTAATGACGTTTCGAGCGTTGGTCCTTTGTCAGAGCGAAGTGAAGGAATGTGGTTTGTGTCTTCGGAAGCTATCTCCCAGTCTGCAAGTCAGCAGTATACTTAAGACATTTTATTCTTTGCCTTTTACCTAAGTATAGCTACAATTATAAATTCTTCTCGTTGGATGCAGATTGTTACTGATAAAACACAGAGATAGTCTAAGGGATGGCTGTGAGGCATCAGCGCATATATGAAGTGTTATCATGGGATGCATTTCTTCATTTTCATTGGCCGAGGGTATACCACGTGACCTGCAAATAACTGCCTACAAATAATGGTCGCTCATGCGTAATACCGTCTAAATGTGTTTGGATGCACTTATGTGAAAACTGACAGATTGCAAGGAAAAAACACTCAGTGATTAGAATGATAAAACAATTATTGAACTCGGTTATCGCAAAATATCGTGATTTGTCAGTGTCTTGCAGATCAATTATTTGCCGAAACCGCTGACAAATCACGATATTTGCTCGCCACTGCTCAACCTCATCCAATATTTGAAAATTGCCGGCTGCTTGTTTCCCTGTTTAATGCAGGTAGTAAAGAGTTTTTCATGTTATTGTAGCTCATTACCTGCAGTGAAGTGGTGACCTTAATGTGTTTCTATACAGATGCTGTCGCAGCAAGTTGAATGTCTCGGTTTGTCCAGCAAACAAGGATTGCTGTCCAGATTTCAGGAAGCTTTCCGTACCATGTGGACACAAAATGGCGACCATATCAGCCGTATGTACCTAGGTACTGGAGCTCTAGATGGAAGGGCCAAGGTACTGTTCCAACCTTTTTGTCTATCCACTCAGCGTCAAATGGGGCAGAATACCGAGAATTAAAAACAAGGGAACCTCTCCACAGTGTCCACCCTGGGGACAGATGAAAGTGGCCTTTGTAGAGAGGTGGCCGTTATAGGGAGGTAGGGGTGTAATATGACACCTGTTTTTTTTCGGGGATGCAACAATTTTTGTCAAAAAAATGCTTATTTTAGCATACGTAAATTAAAAAGGATCCATACAACAGAAGCGAAACAGAAACAGACACCAACGTCGCACGGTACACATCAAGTTTGGTGACCTTTGACAATAAAAATGGGTTTTTGTATATACCATTCGTCATTCGTTAATTGACTGGCCGTTGCCCAGAGGTTATTTTGGCAACTGTGACGAGTTTTAGTAACCGTTTGCCATTAATTAGGAGAGGTGGCCGTTGTAGAGAGATTAAAATAAGAGTGAATGTATGGACTGATCGCCTGGACCAAAAAATTTGGCCATTGTATAGAGGTGGACATTGTAGTGGATTTTGCAGAGATGTTGCTAAGCAACTGGTGGAATCGTGTAAGTCCTAGAAATTATTGCTTTCCTATACAAAGTTAGTAGATGTACAAGGCTAGTTACACTAGTTTATTTGTACCCACCTGCTGTGTGTATATGTCGCTGAAGGGCCTTGTTATAATGAAAGCCGGGCGAGTCAGTCTTTACAATAGGCATTTTGATACAACGGCACTTTTCTTCATTCTGATTTTACATCCACTAGTTTAGTGGCTATCGCACAATGTTTTGTGGTACACCAGTATACCCCAAATGACCATCATTCGTTGGCGCCGTTTTACTGTCCGACTTTTCTCGCAAACCCCGGTAAAGTATATATTTTCTGAAAGCTTAAGAATTGTAGATTACGAAGGTATATTCATTAAAATAATAAAAAAATTAAGGTTTTCTGAATTTAGCGCCCTATTTCCTGAAGTACAGAGGTTTAAGAATCAAGTTCATTTCCGGTCAGAGTTGAGCGGGAGGACGCGATCAACATTGCTATGTCTTCTTGACACCTTTCTCTTACTTGTTTGGTTTGTTTTTGGCATGTAGTTAAACTTTGGGAGTTGATAAAACGTGCATTCTCTTCACTAAAATAGTCATAACTTTTCAAAGAAG